CACACTTAAAACCTCTCCTCGGGGTCACCTCCAAGGGTCCTTGGGTGCCTGGTACAAGACCAGCCCCTATCCTCGGGTCCGAGTTTGTAGAGAGAGGGATCAAGAGGGACTTAGTCAAAACAGCAAGAGTACCTTGAACGTCGCGCAGCGTATCGTGCAGACCGTCGATCGGATTAAGCTGAGAATTTCCTATATCGAAGCTCACTCTAAGAGCTTTAAAATAAGCCAAGTTGCCTCGCGAAAAGTTCTGCCATTACGAAGTTATGGCTCGGACAGCGTTAGCCTAGCGTTGGAGTGCTAGCGTACTAGCGTTGACTCGGGTAGCATTCCGCCGTCGCACCGCGTAGAAAAGAAATTCCAGCAAGGAAGGAATTCGCTTGAATCAATTTCACTATATTCAGGTACAAACAGAGAAGGAATAAATAGCTCTAGCTAGCAAGGACCTTGGGAATCAACCTGGGAACAACCAGGGATGATCCCAAATAATTCCAAGCAACAGAACCAACCTGGCTGAACAAAATAGCAGGTGATAGGTTGGTGAACAACCTCTGGTTCTGTTTTTCCAACCTGGGAAAACAACAACCAGGTTCAGGTCCTAAAAACAGAACCTGTTTTGTCTTTGCCCAACCAGCCAAATGCTGGTTCCGCTGGTTTCCCCTGGCCCTGTAGCATGCAGATACAGACAAACAACATCCAACCTTCACCTAAATTGTACCCCTATAGTGCCTGCCCTGCTACACTATAGTCAACCAAACAAAACAGTACAATTTCGAGTTGGATAGAACTGAATCTGCGCAATCAAGTAAGTTGAACCGCAAAGCTTCCATCTTGGGTTCCTTTGCGAGCTCGTCCTTTCTGCTTGTACTGTTCATAGCGCGTACAATGTTATGCCGAAGCGCACATTTTGCGAGTACCTGCAAATGCTTCAAGCGAAAATTGCGAAAGCAAGCAAACAGACAAACATACCATTCACACGCAAATGCATTCGCACACGCATACTCGTACAAACAGACGGCAGGATGTCGTGCAATGTCAATTTGCACCCAACAAAATTGACGTCGCCAACGCATTTCTCTACGCACCTGTCGACGCAGAAATCTTCGTCGAGCTACCGCACGGCTCCAACGGAGAGCCTAATCAAGTCTGTCAGCTGCTGAAGTCGCTCTATGGCATCAAACAAGCCTTGAGGCTGTGGCAGCAGTACCTGCACGCAAGACTCATTTGAATTGGATTCCGCCAACTACCTTACGACCAAGGCATGTATCGGCTCACAAAGGGTACCGACTACATCTTGCTAATCGTCTACGTAGACGATTTTCTCTACATCGGCTCAACCGACGGCGTCACTACCTGGTTCGAAGGGGAGTTGCAGCAAGACCTTACGCTCACTGTCTCATCTACCGTCATGCAATATCTCGGGCTCAACATACGGGAAGAGGAGGACGCGATCTACCTCAACGCCGCGAAATACGCCGATACCATCGCCAAACGCTTCGCACTCACACCGACCATTATCTTGAGAAAATTAGAAGAGAGAAGAGGGTTGCACTAGCAAGAATGAGGATACAAATAGCAAACCCTAGAAGGGTTGTACTCGCTATAGAGCACCCCACTACAGGCTAGAGCATAAGATAACATTCTGACATATCTCCACGCCATACCGCTACACGGCAAGAAACCACAAGGAAGGCTCCGCTCTACTCAAGCCTGCCGGCATACGCGACTACCAGAGGAAGCTGGGATGCCTCCTCTTCGCAGCTGTCACCTGCCGCGCGGACCTATCGTACTCTGCAAGCCAGCTCGCCACCTACCTCAAGAAACCTGAAGTGGAACATCTGGCGGAGCTCGACCGCGCTCTTCACTACCTCGTCAGCACCCCGACAATCGGCCTGACCTACCATAAGAACACAACTATAACGCCTAAGCTAATCGGATACGTCGACGCCAATCACGCCAGCGACTCCGACAACAGGCGCTCCCGCACCGGCTACATCTACCGCTTCGAGCCTATCGGTCCTATCTCTTGGCAGTCGAGCAAACAGAATTAATCGCCCTCTCTTCAGCTGAAGCAGAATGTATCGCACTCTGCTCAGCCACCAAGGAAGGAATGTACCTTCGCGAACTCCTGGAGGAAGCCAAGCTAGCCCAGTTACCAAACTTTACCCTGTTCTGCGACAACTAGTCGGCCATTCGCATAGCCAACAAGAACGGCTTCGCGAACAGGACGAAACACATTGCCCTGCGATACTTCTTCGTGAAGGACGATATCGAGAAGGGGAGACTCGAACTGTCATACTGCCCCACGTCCGAGATGGCAGCTGACTACTTGACCAAAAAGCTCGGAAAGCAGAAGTTCGAGTACTGCATGTTGCTGACTGGACAGAGCCACGTCACCAGCAGCGACACTCCAGAAGCGAAGGGGAGTGTTGGAAACAACTAACTTAAGCGCCTCTGTCGTGTCGAAACACCAAGACACAAGCGAAGCAAAACACTATAGAAGCACCAGCGAGTCAACCCTCGGAGGTTGAAGCAACTGTCGGGGGTTACGCGAAAGTCAAAGGTCAGCAACCTTTGACCTGACAAGTACAGCGCGACAGCAAGGACACACAACTGACTCGTTAAAGAGCAGTTGCCCGAGTCGTCACTATATCGAACCGCAACAGCAACAGTAAAGTAGTTATAACTGTGTCTTTTCATATTCCCTGTATTCATATATATTCTTGTATCTCTTTGCTTTAATCAATCAACTTTGCCCTCACATACTAGCGCAAGGTGGTTCATGACTCTTCATTAAACGCTTCCGCTACTACATCAGTTCTACCCAGAATTCACCCCTACAAAGATCCTAAGCAGGCCCCTAGATTCGTTTTGAGGTAGCCTGACGCCTCAGAGCAGGCCCCTAGATTCGTTTTGAGGTGGTCTGACGCCTCAGAGTACACCCCTCTTCCTAGGCTGGCTGTCAGAGTTACCTTTTTTTTTTAGTCTGAAAATTCATACAAGCACAACTTTTTTTGTCTGAACTGTCAGAGTTACTTCAAAATTTAGATGTTCATGCATTTTCATAACAGCATAGCTACAATAGCATTGCAGCTGATTACAGCATACCAACGCAATTGTGCGGCCAGAAATGGGGCACTCTGATTGGTCATTTTTCAAGAGTTAGGAACACTGAGTAGTCAGGGTCGAGGTGTGGGCATGAGACAATGGCCTCGTGCAAGTGCCAAGTGTGGCAAGCTCGCAATCAGCTGACCTGGCAGCAGGCACGGTATCGCTCGGCACTTTTCTGTGTTGGGCGCGCTGTCAGTAGCAAGATTTTTCAACTGTGTACACCGGATGTGCGCGGAATATTCTCTCCTAAAGTTGCAGCTTCGAAATTTGAACTCGGTTTGGCAAGGGGAACTGATGTGCGGTTCTGCTGAAGTACGAGACTCATATGTGACAAGGCTTTCGTTTGCACCAATTCGCTTTTCGCCATGTGCGATTCGCTAAAATCGTTTTGGCCATGTGCGATTGGCTATCTAGTTCACAATTTAAGGGTTTTTATAAGCCCTCAATAAATTCCACTCTCGTGATAGCGTCGACAAAGTAGTGTATTTTGGTGCCCCTACTCGAGTAGTTTCATCCGGAGGAAATCGTTAGTGCTGGCCCGTACACACGTGAGTGTATCGAAAAGAAGTTTCGAGGAAGTTTCGTTCCAATAACCTTCCATTCAGGCTGGCAGAAACCCCTGTATAACTGGTTTCATAGTGGATCCCCGATACAAGTCTGAGGCTCAGCGTGCACTACTATGACTACTCTGAAATTTCAGACTAGTCAGTTAAAAAAACTCTGAAAAATCAGACAGGGTGCATAAAAAAATTCTTTGAGTTCAGACTAGGTACAAAAAAAAAGTCTGATCAGACTCTGAATCAGACTCCAAAGTCTGATATCTAGGGCCCTGATCCTAAGGGCTATTTTCTCAGCCCATCATTGCGGAAGAGTTTAGTGATAAACTGTTGAACCACCTTCAGCTGATGTGTGAGGGCAAGATAGATTGATTATGGAAAAGTAGTACAATTTTTTTAAGATTACAAGGAATCTGAAAAAGTGCAACTAATAATTGTTTTACTGTTGCTGTTGCGGTTCGATACAGTGACGACTCGGGCAACTGCTCAGTAACGAGTCATTTGTTTGTCATTGCTGTCGCGCTGTATTTGTCAAGTCAAAGTGTCAAACATTATATGTTTATGTGGTTCTAGGCTGTAGTGGGTCACACCTTAGGGGGTACACCAGATTAGGGTTTCATATTGGTACTCTTGCTCCTGTTAGTCACACCATTCTCGTTTCTGATTCTGACATGGTATTACGAGCCTAGGTTTCACCTAGGACCGAAACGTTAGGGCCCACCGTTTCCGCTAGCCGCGCCCTAGTGCGCCGCCTTTTCCTAGCGCCCTCGTGCGCCTCGTTCCTCGCGTCGCCCTTTAAGGCCCCTCACGGCCCCTCGCGTCGCCCCTTAAGGCCTCTCACGCCCCCTCCTTACGACCCCGCGCTAGCCCCGAACGGCCCCGTGCGGCCCCCGCGCTAGCCTCCCCCGGCCCCTTACGGCCCCGCACTAGCCTCCTACGGCCCCGAACGGCCCCTCGCTAGCCCCTCACGGCCCCTTAAGGCCCCGCGTTAGCCTCTCACGGCCCCCGAATGGCCCCGCACTAGCCCCGAACGGCCCCCGAACGGCCCCCGCGCTCGCCTCGAACGGCCCCCCGCGCTCGCCCCTCTACGACCGAGCCGCGCAGCGCGACCCCAGCTGAACCGCGCGACCCGAGCCGAACCGCGCGACCCGACCGAGCCGCGCCGCCCTAGCCGAGCCGCGCCGCCCTAGCCGAGCCGCGCCGTCCTAGCCGAGCTGTGCCCTCCTTACCTGAGCAGCAGGGCAAGTACTGGACTGAACTGCTCCTACTGCTACTGCTACTGCTACTGCTACTGCTACTGCTACTGCTACTGCTACTGCTGCTGCTACTTCAGCTATGGCTAGCCCTACAGTTCTCTCCTTCGATACTAAGGGCCGCCTGATTAAGTTTGAGACCTGGCTCGATGATCTGCACCTGTTCCTCCAGCTCACTGCCAGGGAGGATGTCTCGCTGTACGATCATGCACTAGGCAAAGCTACTGCCCCTGCTACTGATGCTGACGCCACTACCCGCTCCCAGTGGCAGACTCGTGACGCCCACGCTCGCTTCGCTATTCGCAACTCCCTGCCTGTAGATGAGCGCGAGCACTTCGGCCAGCACAGGACTGCCCAGGCACTGTACACTGCTGTAGTTGCGCGCTACTCCTCCCCAGCCTCTGCTGCGCTAGGCCGTCTCTCGCTTCCCTACCTGTTCCCTGACCTGTCCGCCTTCCAGACAGTCGCTGACCTCATCACGCACCTCCGCACTAAAGAGGCCCGCTTCCGTGCCGCTATGCCTGCTGAGTTTCTTGCCTCCAACCCTCCCCCGCTCTGGCTCACTCTCTACCACCTAGTTACCCGCCTCCCTGACACTCTACGTACAGTCAAGGACAGCTTCCTAGCCCGCTGCCCCACTGAGCTCACCATTGCCACCCTTGAGAAGGAACTCCTTGCAGCTGAGAAGAGTATTGTAGCTGTAGGTGCCTCTCGTGGTGACCCCCGCACCCCTTTCTTCGAGGGGTGTTCCCCCTCCCCCCTGCTCCCCTCTGTCGCCTCTGCTGCTGCTGTCGACCTCCTTGGTGCTGAGCAGGTCGGGTCTGCGTCCGCTCCCAGCGGGCGCCGCAGCGGTAGGGGCAGGGGAGGCAAGGGCGGTGGGGGTGATGGCGGGGGAGGCGGTGGTGGGGGTGGTGGCGGCGGTGGGGGCCGTGGCGGGGCTGGAGGGGCTAGTGGCAGCGGTGGGGGTGGTGGAGGCAGCGGCGGCGGCGGTGGCCGGGGTGGGGGCGGTGGTGGTGGCGGCGGAGGACGTGGCGGCGGCAGGGGCGGTGGTGGTCGTGGTGGCGGCGGCGGTGGTGGTCGTGGAGGCTCTGGCACTGGCCAGAGCACGCAGCACCCTCAGTCCTCCCAGGAGCTTCGTGAGTGGTACTTACAGCACGGGGGTGGGGGGGGTAGCCTTAGCTGCACGTACGTCATCCGCACTGGTCGCCGCAAGGGACAGACGTGCGGGAGGGCGCACACTGCGCAGCGCTGCTTCTCTCGCCTAGATGATGCTTGGCGTACTCAGTTTCCTGACGCTCCTGAGCTCCCTCAGTGGGCTGATCTCCTCAAGAAGGATATCGATATCTATGCTCTTGATTTTGATGTTATTCTCAAAGCCATGTATGCATTGACTATTAGTGGAGAGGAGGACCAGTACCTGTGTGTTCCGCCTGACCCAGGCATCCGCACGAGTGAGGCTGCTGCCCTACGTGCTTGCGTGTCTGCTGCCCCAGGTGCTGGTGAGGCTACTGCTCTAGGTGCTTGTGTGTCTGCCACCCCAGGTACTACTGAGTCCACTGAGGCACTGCACACCTTCACTCTAGACTCAGGCGCTTCGCGCTGTTTCTTTCGTGACCGCACTGCTCTTGAGCCCCTTGCTCGACCAGTCGCTGTCTCGCTCGCTGACCCCTCTGGGGGTCCGGTCATTGCGACCTCCTCCACTGTCCTTCCTTGTCCTGCTGTCCCGTCGGGCACACTGTCAGGTCTCCACCTCCCCTCGTTCTCTACGAACTTGGTGGCGGGTTGTGCGCTTTAGGATGGGGGTGTTCACCAGTTCACCCCTGCCTACGAGCGTGTGACACACTGCACGTGTGCTCGGACGGGCCGTCACCTGGCTACCTTCACTCGGCAGCCGGGGTCGGACCTGTACACACTGACCACTGAGTCCCCTCAGGTAGCGGCGTCTGCGTCTGCGTTTGCGTCAGGTCAGCTGTCTGCCCCCTGCTCGTGTCGCTCTCTAGCGCACAAGACTGTCCTCTGGCACCACCGACTTGGTCACCCGTCAGTGCAACGCCTTCGGGGCATGCACTCCCGGTACCTTGTCTCTGGTCTTCCTCGGGTACTCCCTCCCCTCCCACCCTCCCTTGCTCCTCCTTGTCTTCCCTGTGTCGAGGGGCGGCAGCGCGCTGCCCCTCACTCCTCCTCGTTCCCCCCGACGACTGCTCCTTTGCAGACGCTCCACATGGACGTGTGGGGCCCAGCCCGCGTCCGTGGTCAGGGCCAGGAGAGGTACTTCTTGATCGTCGTTGACGACTACTCGCGCTACACCACGGTCTTCCCCTTGCGCGCCAAGGGTGAAGTCCCTGATGTTATGATCCCTTGGATCAGCAGAGCACGTCTTCAGCTGCGCGAGCGTTTTCGCTCGGAGTTTCCTGTCCTGCGCTTGCACTCTGACAGAGGTGGTGAGTTCTCCTCCGACCTCTTGGCAGCCTACTGTGCCGAGCACGGCATTCGCCAGTCGTTCACGCTTCCGGCCTCTCCACAGCATAATGGGGTTGCTGAGCGCCGCATTGGCTTGGTCATGGAGGTCGCTCGTACCTCCCTAGTCCACGCGGCTGCCCCCCACTTTCTGTGGCCGTTTGCGGTCCGGTACGCTGTGCATCAGCTCAACCTCTGGCCCCGTGTCTCCGCTCCGGAGACCTCGCCCACACTGCTGTGGACGGGGGAGGTTGGCGATGCGTCACGCTTCCGAGTCTGGGGATCCCGAGCTTTTGTTCGCGACACGTCTGCGGACAAGCTCTCCTCCCGCACTGCTCCGTGTGTCTTTCTTGGCTTTGTCCCGGATGCGTCTGGCTGGCAGTTTTACCACCCTGCCTCGCACCGCGTCTTCCCCTCTCATGACGTCACTTTTGACGAGTCCGTGCCCTTCTACCGCCTCTTCCCCTACCGCACTGCCCCGCTCCCTCCCCCGCTCTCTTCCTCGCGCCAGGTGCTGCAGTGGTAGACCCCCTCCCCCCTCAGGGTGCCGCTCCTTCAGGTGTCTCCTCAGGTAGACCCGGTTGAGCCTGTTGAGGTAGCTGTCGACTCGCGTCCGGCTAGGGGTTCTGAGCCTGAGCGTGCGGAGCCTGAGCGTGCGGAGCCTGGGGGTACTGAGTCTGGGGGTACTGAGCGTGGGGGTGCTGAGTCTGGGGGTGCTGAGCCTAGGGTTGCCGAGTCTGGGGGTGCTGAGCCTGGGGTTACTGAGTCTGGGGGTGCTGAGCCTGGAGTTGCTGAGTCTGGGGGTACTGCAGCTGACTGTGAGACGCCTGGAGGAGCTCCCTCTTCGCAGCAGCTGCGTGAGTGGTACTCGCGGTACTGCAGCCTTCGGCGGGGTGCGTCTCGGGCTCGGGGTGCTGCTGGAGTTGGTGCTCGTGTTTCCCCGCCGCGGCGGGAGCCGCCCTCTTCCCCACAGCTCCGGGAGTGGTACACTCGGCACATCAGTCTTCGTAGTGGGACTGCTGGTGCTGGGGTCCCCGGGGTTGACACTACTACTGGTACTGCGGACCCTGGAGCTGGAGGTGCTGCTGCTGCTGGCGGTACTGCTAGAAGTGCTGTTACTGCTGGCGGTGCTGCTGGTACTGCTGGAGGTGAGGCTGGTGCTGAGGACCCGGGCGTTGGAGCTGCTGCGGGTGCTGCTGACCCTGGTCCTGGAGGTGCTGCTGCTGCTGGTGGTACTGCTGGTGCTGCTGGAGGTGCTGCTGGAGGTGCTGCTGCTGGTGCTGAGGACCCTGCCGCTGGTGACGCTGCTGGTTCGGGAGTTGCTGCACGGCCTCGGCCGTACTTCGTTCCACTCCTTCAGCAGGTTCTTGGTCAGCTTCCTCCTCCTGCCTTAGAGTGTCCGCCGTCTGTCCAGTCACAGCCACAGTTACCGCCTGCCTCCCCTCTCCCTGTGCCTGCTCCTTACACTGGTCCGACTGGAGGTCTTGCTGAGCGTCGCGAGCCTGCGTCACGTCCTGTGTCGCCTGCGTCTCGTCGAGCGTCGCCTGTTCGTGCTGCTACCTCTGGTCGTAGTGTCCAGCGTCAGCGTCCTCCTGCTGTCCCAGGCACTCACCAGATGTCACTTCGTCAGTCCACTGCTCCACAGCGTGTCTCTCTCCCGTCGCCTCCTGCGTCCTCTCTTCCTGCTCTTGCTGACCCGGCGTCCGACTCCCTTCGCGCTGCCAGTCCTACTGTCACACGTCTCCTAGCTACGGTTGTCACTAACCCTTCCTTTGAGTCCGCTGCCGCGTATGCCTTAGTTGCTGAGCTGGTCGACTTTGCAGCTGCGTGTCGTTTAGACTACGCTGCCAGTCTTGTTGCTGAGTCTGATTCTGTCTGTCTTCCGTCCGTCGGGGGTGACTGTGCCCTTGGCACTGACGTCCTTGAGGACAAGCAGGAGGAGTTTGGTTGCCTTGCTGCTGCTTTGCCCCATCTCGTGTCCATGCTTGTTGCCCCTGAGGGAGACCCGGATGCACCAGACATCCCGACCCCACGCTCTTACGCAGAGGCGATGGCCGGTCCCTACTCCTCTCAGTGGCAGACAGCCATGGACGCAGAGATGGCTTCCTAGAAGTCCACAGGCACCTACGTCGACGAGGTTCCCCCACCTGGGGCGAACATCGTCAGTGGCATGTGGATTTTCAGGGTGAAGCGGCCACCGGGCTCTCCGCCTGTCTTCAAGGCGCGTTACGTTGCGCGAGGCTTCAGTCAGCGTCAGGGAGTTGACTTCTTCCAGACCTTCTCTCCGACCCCGAAGATGACCACTCTTCGGGTTCTGCTGCACGTCGCTGCTCAGCGTGACTACGAGCTCCACTCGCTTGACTTCAACACAGCTTTCTTGAAGGGCAACCTGCACGAGGAGATCTGGCTGCGCCGCCCACCTGGCTTCACTGGGTCGTTTCCTCTTGGTACCCAGTGGAGCCTTCGGCGGCCAGTCTACAGTCTTCGCCAGGCGCCACGTGAGTGGCACGACACACTGAGGACTACTCTTGCGGCTCTTGGGTTCGCTCCTTCTACTGCTGACCCGTCGCTGTTTCTACGCACCGACACCTCACTGCTGCGTTCTACATCCTCGTGTACGTCGACGACTTGGTCTTTGCCACTTCTGACACAGCTGGTCTCGCTCACGTGAAGTCCGAGCTGCAGAAGAGACACACGTGCACAGACCTGGGTGAACTGACAAGCTATCTTGGCTTGCGGATCACCCGGGACAGAGCACGGCGCACCATCACCCTGACTTAGTCACACATGGTGCAGCAGGTCCTTCAGCGCTTCGGCTTCACGTACTCCTCGCCTCAGTCCACTCCTCTGCCTACGGGACACTCGCTCTCAGCTCTGCCTTCGGATGAGTCCGTAGAGCCAAGTGGTCCGTATCCAGAGCTTGTGGGCTGCCTCATGTACCTGATGACCTGCACGCGACCTGACCTTGCATACCCTCTCAGCATCTTAGCACGCTATGTCGCTCCCGGCCGTCAGCGGAAGGAGCACATGGATGCAGCTAAGAGGGTGTTGCGCTACTTGTGCAGTACGTCGGGCATGGGGCTAGTGCTTGGAGGGCGAGATCGGCCTGTTCTCACTGGGCACTCAGACGCTTCTTGGGCAGACGACCAGGCTACTCAGCGGTCGTCTCAGGGTTACACCTTCAGCCTTGGCTCTGGCTCTGTCTCTTGGCGTTCTACTCGCTCTTCTTCTGTTCTCAGCTCCAGCTGTGAGGCTGAGATCTACGCCACGGCCATGGCTACCCAGGAGCTTCGCTGGCTCCCCTACCTGCTGACGGACCTTGGAGAGCAGCCTCGTTCTCCTCCAGTGCTGTACGTCGACAACAAGGCAACCATTGCCTTGTGTGACGAGCACAGACTGGAGCACAGGACGAAGCACATTGCTCTGCGTTACTTTCTAGCTCGAGAGCTATAGCAGCGTGGTCAGCTTCGTCTGCGGTACGTGGCCTTTGAGGCCAACACTGCTGATGTGTTCACCAAGGCGCTCCCGCTTGTCGACCATCAGCGTTTTTGCACTCTTCTAGGCCTTGTGCCGACTGGACCTCACTTGCTTACTTCTTGACTTTGTCTGTATTGTGATCACTATATATATATATATATATATATATATATATACCTGCATGTTTACTCTTGCTAGGTTGTGATCATTGTATTTCTTGTTCTATTATAAATCTGCATGTGAACTGGTCTTGTGACCGCTTGCTTGTGCTCGGAATTTGTGTGGAATCATCGAGATCCACCCTGAGCTTGTTTGCCTTGTTTTACCTTGACTGGTCTTGTGACCCCTAGGTCTGCCCCACTTTGCCTATGGGGGTGTGACAAACATTATATGTTTATGTGGTTCTAGGCTGTAGTGGGTCACACCTTAGGGGGTACAAGGGTTTCATATTTGTACTCTTGCTCCTGTTAGTCACACCATTCTCGTTTCTGATTCTGACACAAAGGTCGCTGACCTTTGAACTTCGTGTAACCTCCGGCTGTTGCTTTTCTGTCAACCTCCTCGGTTGACTCGCCATTGCTGCGCTGTAGTTCGCCTTATTTACAGTCTTGATGTTACGACACATAAGAAGCGTTAATTACTTGTTTCCAACGCATAGAAGGGGTTACATGCATGTTAGACTGGGGGGGTTAGGGCGCACGGACCCGCGATTGGAACAAACCCTTTTAACCCAACTGTCTAGTGGCTGGGATTTTGACACTCAACTCTATAAGATCCCAAGCCTTTTTCTCAGCCCAACATCAAGGACCAGGCCCTCAGATTGGTTTGAGGGTATGCTGATGGATCAGCGTGCCCCGGCCAACGAGGTGTCCAAATCAGCGCTCACGGTTTTTTTTATACTGATTTCGCCAGTGTTAAAATCATAAGTAAACTGAACCAACAGTGTAATAACAAAAAACTATAGCTGAAACCCCTGTACAAGGTGTGTGGTGTTGTTGATGTGATAGGTTCCAGCGAGGCTAAACACTTCGGCGCGCACCTGATATCTGTGCAGTGCATGCTAAAAAATGCCAAGTGTGTTGGTGGGGTCTCAGGAATCACGGGAAGGTACAGATTGTACACGCGTACCCTATCCCCCCCCCCCCCCGCAGCAGCATCCCTCAGTTGACGTATGCAGGCCAGAAGCATCAGCTCCACCGGGCGGCATTGGACACCCTTCCACTGCGCGCACCCCCTCTCACACCACCTGCTTTCCCCCTCCACCCTCCTCTCTTCACATGCCCAACTCTCCTGCTGGTCGCAGCGGGCGTGGAGAGGAATGAGTGGAGGGAGGAGAGCCAGGCGGTGGCCTGGGTGACCTCGCGGTGCAGCAGCAGGTGGCGCCCGTACCGCGCCAGCTGTGCCCCCACGCCCCGCCGCTGCAGATACGCCTCCACCTCCGCCTGCATGGCGGGCGGCACGGCGCTGCCAGGCGGTTGGGGAGAGATTGGTGGGATTAGCACCACAGAGATTTGATGAAGTGGGGAGGAGAGATGTAGAGTGAGAGTGAAAAGAGAAGAAAGTGTGGATGAGTTGGCATGTAAGAAGGGAAAAGTTTCTTACGTATGGCTGTAAGAAACCACTCAGAGGGACTCACTCATAGAGGGTGTAGTCGAAGGGCACTCTGAACGAGTCCTCGTGCACTGCTGCCTCGTCCACCGCCACCTGCCAGGGGTGTGCGTGGGCATGGGGGGGAATGGGAGGGAATGGGGGGGCATGGGGGAGCATGGGGGGGCATGGGGGGGAATGGGGGGGAATGGGGGGGAATGGGGGGGAATGGGGGGGAATGGGGGGGAATGGGAGGGAATGGGGGGGCATGGGGGGGCATAGGGGGGCATGGGGGGGCATGGGGGGGAATGGGGGGGAATGGGGGGGAATGGGGGGGAATGGGGGGAAATGGGGGGGAATGGGGGGGAATGGTGGGGAATGGGGGGGCATGGGGGGGCATGGGGTCCCATGGGGGGGCATGGGGGGCCATGGGGGGGCATGAGGGGCCATGGGGAGGCATGGGGGGGCATGGGGGGGCATCGGGAGGCGATGGCATGAGGAGAGGCAGAGAGGAGGTCAACCTGACACACGCATTCAGTAGGCGGCAAGCAGTGTGAGTGGCCTGTGTGCACTTGTGCCCCACGACGCTTGCTACAAATGGCAGTGCAGACGACTCACATGGTTCACGAGCCACTCACATGGTTCACGAGCCACTCACATGGTTCACGAGCCACTCACATGGTTCATGAGCCACCCACATGGTTCACGAGCCACTCACATGGTTCACGAGCCACTCACATGGTTCACGAGCCACTCACATGGTTCACGAGCCACTCACATGGTTCACGAGCCACTCACATGGTTCACGAGCCACTCACATGGTTCACGAGCCACTCACATGGTTCACGAGCCACTCACATGGTTCACGAGCCACTCACATGGTTCACGAGCCACTCACATGGTTCACGAGCCACTGGTCGCCTGCAATGGTGCAGTGCACTCGCAGCCGCGCCTCCCCCTCACCACCCCCTGCTGCCGTGCCTGCAGCACATGCTGCTGCTGCTGCTGCTGCTGCTGCTGCAGCGTGCCCTCGCCCCTCGCCCCTCATGCGCCTCACAGGCCTGCCCCTCACCGGGCCCTCCCTGCCACCCATGCCCGCCATGCCCATCGCCATGCTCCTAGCTACCATGCCGCCCGCCTGCACAGAGCGCACCGGCTTGGACACGAGGATGAGCGCCGGGATGCCCGCATCGCTCTCACCGCCCCCAACGCCACTGCCATGTGCCTCACCAGCCCTGCCATCACCCCCCTCCCCACCCCCCTCCTCCCCCTCCTCCCCCTGGTCCACGAGTCCCCCCTCATGGCCCTGCAGCAACAGCATGAGGCGCAGCTGCTCGCCGTGGAAGGCGCGTGTCAGCCACAGGTCCGCCACGCCCTCGCGCTCCTCCACCCGCCAGGGAGGGGGCGGCCCTGCCAGGATGGGCTGGGGGGATGGGAGGGCGAGGCAGGTGGGAGGGAGGTAGGGCGCATGGTGAGAGGCGAGAGCACGGGCTAGCATGATGAGCACGGGCTAGCATGATGCGCACTGGCTAGCATGATGAGCACTGGCTAGCATGATGAGCACTGGCTAGCATGATGAGCATGGGCTAGCATGATGCGCACTGGGTAGCATGATGAGCACTGGCTAGCATGATGAGCACTGGCTAGCATGATGAGCACTGGCTAGCATGATGAGCACGGGCTAGCATGATGCGCACTGGCTAGCATGATGCGCACTGGGTAGCATGATGAGCATTGGCTAGCACTGGCTAGCATGATGCGCGCTGGGTAGCATGATGAGCATTGGCGAGGGTACGGGGGAGGCCAAAACAGGCAGCAAAAATGTGATGTGGCAGCAGCGGCGCACAGCAGGAGGGGCAGGAGGGGCAGGGCGCACGGAGGGGGGGAGGTACATGGCCTTCTCATGCGCCACCTCCATGCCCACCGCCGCCACCAACTCTCCGTCCGCCCCACCGCCCTCTTCCACTCCCCCTGCCCCGCGCTGCTGCTGCTGCTGCTGCTGCCGCTGCCCCGGCCACCACTCCACCGCCTCCCCCTCCCCCTCCTTCGCCTTGCGCCTTCTCCTCCGCTCACCCTTCCCGCCGCCCCTCTCTGCCGCCGCTGACCGTTCTAGCTGTTTCCGCCAGTACGCCTCTCCCCACTCCGCCTCCCCCTCCGCCCCGCGCTCGTCCGCGTGCGCCGCGTCTCCCCGCGCCCCTCCTGCGCGCCTCATGCCGCCGTCCCTCGCCACCCCCGCTGGCCCCATGGCGTCACCGCCACCAGCTGCCGACACGCCATACCTTCGCCCGCCCACGCCCGCTACCGCACACGGCCCCTCCGCTGCACCTCCCCGCCTCGCCTCTGCGCCACTGCGCCAACCGCCGCCACCCACCGCCCGCCACATCGTCGTCCCCTCACTCTCCGCCTGTGTGGCTTGAAGCGAAATCTGCGTCGCGTCAGCGCCGGCCGGCGCCCACCGTGCGACCGCCTCTCGCCACGCGCTGCCGCGCGCGCCCCCCTTGCACTCCCTCCGCATGCCGCCGTCGCCGCTCCCTCCTCCGCCCGCCCTGCTGCCACTCCGCTCCTCCCACATCCCCATCCCCGCACCGCTACACTGCGCGTCACAGCGAAGAATCCGATCCGCCGAGAGCGCGGGGGGCACGCGGCGGTCCCATGGTGTGGCGGCGGCAGGGCAGTTGGCGGAAACTCCCGGCTGGTGCCGCCCGACGGCGAAGAGCGCCGCGCGGGACGGCGCTCGGCGCGCAACAGCGAAGGCCCTCATTCGACGACCGCGCTCGGAGGCACGTAGCGCAGCGCGGGTAAAGCGGCACGCACACGAGCGCGGCAGGCGTACTGGCAAGGCGCGTAGAGCTGAGGGTGGCGGCGATGGATGGAGTTGGCGCAAGAGGGGGTGGCGTGCGATGGGGCTGGGTGGGAAGGGAGGAGAAGCAATTTGAGCAGAATGTATGGGGTGACGGCGATATCTCGTGTTTTCAGAACGGTACAGAACTCAAGGTTTTCGGTAGCTCTCAAACCTGTGCTTCTGTTTTGGTAACTCCCGACGATGGACTGGCGACGTTTAGCGAAATCGCCAATAGAACAGACCAGCAAAGGCGGCAGAGCAGAGACGAGCCCAGAATGGCTCGCGACTACTAATTTGTTACCCCTGTGACTTCAATCTTCATTGCGTGTTGCTCGCCAACCACAAGAGGACTGCTCGTTCACTCCACATCCTGCATGCGCTGTCCCAAACCGTCGTCGATCGTCATGTCTTTTCTCGCCTGGGCGCATCGCTCGGTGAATCCGCGTCGCCTCATCGCCTCGCTCGTCCCCGCGTCGTCCGCCGTGGATCGCGCGCCTCCGTCGTGCGAAGCCCTTATACCGAGAAAGCTGTGTCCGCCGGAAGCAAGTCCGCGCGCCCTTGCCGCCGCGCAACGCGGCGTGGGCAGCGGCGCGCGTGAATCGGGTGATCCGGCGGAGCCCTGCCAGCGCTGGCCCTCCCGCGAGCCGGGCTCCGCACGCGATGCTGCGCGCGCCGAGACGCACGCGGCGAGTGAAACGAGCGGCGGAGGCGACGCTACTAAAGGCGCGGGGTGGCGGGGCATGGCTGCGGACGGGGCGGCGGAGCGCATGGGCCGTGGCGGGGAGGTGGGGGGCGGCGCTTGGGCGCGGGTGGCACGCAGTGGACAGGCGGCGGTCAGCAGCATGGTGCACGCGGGAGGAGGGTGGGGAGGTGCACGACCGCCACGTCGCTTTCTGTGCTCCGCGCCTTCCCTCGCCGCCGCTGCTGCTGTGGCTGGCAGTAGCGGCGGCAGCAGTGGCAGTATGGAGATCTTCAACCGCCGGCTGAAGGCGATGCAGGTGATGATGAGTGCATGGGGTGAATGGGGTGCAACGAGCCATCCGTCGCTCCCATGCCGCCCAGCTGCACGTGTGGTCACCCACGAATGTGCTGCTGCGCTCACTCCCACCGCCCGTCTGCTGCGCTCACTCCCACCGCCCGTCTGCTGCGCTCACTCCCACCGCCCGTCTGCTGCGCCTCTGCCCGTCATTGCCCACCTCGTGTTGCAGCGTGACAGAGCAGCGGCTGACATGACATCGCCTGATAACGAGGTGCCACGTGGCGATCCCTTAGTGGAGCAAGTGGCGTCCGTCCTCCTGGACCGCCTGGCAGTGAGGATCTCTCCCTTCCCTCCCTACCACTCTCTGTCACACGTACTGGATGTGCTTTGCTGCATGTGTCATGCGGCATGTATTACCTTACCACTCATGTGCCATGATGCCAGGACAGCAGCCCATGATAGACCCGCCATGGCCAGCATGCCTCACAGCTGCAGCTGCAGCATCGGCATCAGCGCTGCTCGTGCCGCAGTCCCCACACCACACGCACTGCTTCCTCCTCTTCCATGTCCTCTCCTCCTGCCCTCTCTCGCGACTCACCAGCCTCGCGCCCACCTCCCCCACTCCCCCCCTCGCGCTCTCTGCTCCGCATCTGCACTTCCTCCTCGCAGTCTTCTGCTGCTCACAACCACCACAGCAGCTGCTCATCCCCCTCTTTCTCAGGCCCCCATGTCCCGCCCATCCTCCCCACCAATCCGCGACCCCTCGCCTCCGCAGGACTGTCGCCGCACCTTCTCCTGCGTGCTGCTGCTGGGCGGGGCTGCGCTGCCCTCTGTGCTCACCACGCTGCTGCGCACCCACCGTACGTCTCCACTGCTGCACTGCGGTTGTGTGCTGTTCTTCTCTGCCAAGCTGTTGCCGCTTTGCCGTCTGTGCTGTGCTGCTGTTCTGTTCTCAACTGTAATAGAGGGGTGCGGATGGGCCATGGCTATGTGGACTGTTGGACTGCACTGCTGCTATCACCCAACTGCCTCCCCCTTGTTGCTGTCCTCCCTGCTCTGCTCGCTTTGCCTATCCCCTGCCACACACCGCCTCTCACCACCTCTCATCGCCTCTCACCGCCTTTCATCGCCTCTCGCCGCCTCTCATGGCACGGTGCTGCGCAGCTCCCAGGCTGCTGAAACGGCCTGTCCAGATGTATGAGCAATTGCTGTCCTCATGCAACCCCATTCCGTACCCACAACTGCCTACCAGATGCACCGACCATGGGTCACTTGCTCTTTCTCAGCATCCCATTTCTCCGTGGCACATCCTCGTCCGCCCATTCACGCATCCCCTCTCTGCCTCGCCATCCCCCCTCCGCACAGCAGCTGTGCAGCGAGTGGTGGTGGTGGACGTGTCTCCCACGGCCCTCGCACTGGCGCGCGCCCACCTGCCTGCCCACGCCGTCTGCTGCAATCACGCCCCCACTGCCACCGATCACACCTGGACTCCGCACCACACTGAACACCCAGCAGCAGCGTCAACAGTACGCGCAGCAGCATCAGCATCAGAGGCGGCAGCAGCAGCGAGGGTGCAGGTGGCGTTTGTGCTGGCAGACGAGGAGCACCTGCCCTTCCACTCCAGGTCACCCCCTGCCACGCCTCCTCCGTCAATAAAAAGTCTCTACTGCAGCAGCAGCCGGCACCCAAAGCAGCTCTGCCATCCACTCTTCTCTTTTCTCTCATCTGTCGTGCGTCTCAAACCCCCACCCCTCCTCGTGCCATGCAGCTCGTTTGACGCGGTGATATCATGTGTGGGGCTGCACTGGGTCAACGACCTGCCCGCCGCCATGGCGCACATCAGGTGTGCTGGACCGCCCTCCCCTCTGCTGTGCCGCTCCCTCTCCCCGCGCATCCTCTGCCCGCCCGAAGCACCCCTTCTACCGAAGCACCCCTTCTACCGAAGCATGTAGCCCTCCCCACCCTCCTTACTCGTTGCCTCCTCTGCACCCGTCTGCCCGCCCCCCTGTGGCCACCAGGAGGGCGTTGAAGCCCGATGGGCTCTTCCTCGCGGCCATGCTGGGCGGCGACACCCTCCGGTACTGCCATGGGCTGCTCTCGTTTCTCCCTCCTCCTCGCTTCTGGACACCTCCCTTTTTTTTTCACATTCCATGCACTCCCTGCGTGCATGACACTGTGCTTGAGGCACAAGATACCATATCTCTCCTCCTTCAGCAGTTACTATTGTTCATTCTGTGGCATGGATGAAATGCAACTTGTGTGCATGGTGGCATGTGCATGGTGGCATGTGCATGGTGGCATGTGCTTGGTGGCATGTGCATGGTGGCATGTGCATGTGCCCCCAGGGAGCTGCGCATAGCATGCACGTTGGCTCACATGGAGAGGCAGGGCGGTGTGGCGGCTCGAGTCGCCCCCATGGCTCAGGTGGGTTCGGGGGTGACGCTGGTGGGATGTGAGGCGCGTAGGGCCAAGGCACCAAGAACCTGCCTTTTCATGTGGTTACCAGGATGAGGATGTTGTGAGCATCACTCATGTGATTGCCATAACCCGCCCCCCCTCCTTACAATCATGTCCCCCCTTCCTGCCAACAATCCGCCTCCCCCCCCCTTCCAGGTGCGAGATGCGGGCAATCTGCTAACCAAAGCCGGTTTCGCGCTGCCCACGGTCGATGTCGACGAATTCCCCGTCGCCTACCCTTCAGGTGCTCTCGCCTACCCTTCAGGTGCTCTCGCCTACCCCTCAGGTGCTCTCGCCTACCCCTCAGGTGCTCTCGCCTACCCCTCAGGTGCTCTCGCCTACCCCTCAGGTGCTCTCGCCTACCCCTCAGGTGCTCTCGCCTACCCCTCAGGTGCTCTCGCCTACCCCTCAGGTGCTCTCGCCTACCCCTCAGGTGCTCTCGCCTACCCCTCAAGTGCTCTCGCCTACCCCTCAGGTGCTCTCGCCTACCCCTCAGGTGCTCTCGCCTACCCCTCAGGTGCTCTCGCCTACCCCTCAGGTGCTCTCGCCTACCCCTCAGGTGCTCTCGCCTACCCCTCAGGTGCTCTCGCCTACCCCTCAAGTGCTCTCACCTACCCCTCAGGTGCTCTCGCCTACCCCTCAGGTGCTCTCTGGCTTGAGCCGTGGAGTCTTTCTTGGCAGAGAGGAGTGTGGTGGAGACCTTAGCAAAAGTGAGGTATTTCACTGAGAGCGTGAGGAGCATCTTCCTCGTGACTTCATATGCCGAAGTGAGACCAACAAGAAGGGCGGCTGCAGGGGCTTGTTCGGGGAAGACTATACCCAGCTCCTCGAGTTCGCCATGAATGGTCTGCACCTTGGCAATGTAGTCGGCCATTCCCGAGCAGTCCTCACGGCGGACCTGAAACATGCTGGGGATGAGAATGGCAGCTCCGACCGCCGTCTTGTTCATGAATCGATCCTTGAGATATACTTCCAAATGGTGTTGGAGGTAGGGTAGTTGTGGAACGTGTTGACTAGTTCGGGAGGGGTGGAGGCGATGAAGACGCTGATGATAGCTGCATCGGCCTTCTCCCATTTTCCGGTACTTCTCAACAGCTTCCTCGTACGCCGTCGTGTCAGCATCACTAGCAGATTCGGTCAACTCACGGGGGAGAAGGGGTTGTTTTCCCTAGCCACGGTTGAGGAGGGCGTCCTTGAGGTCCAATCCCTGCACGTCACGACTGAGGAGGTGCTTGTCAACCCCGTAGCTCCATGCGTTGAAGTTGGAGCTAGAGCCATCGGCTTCAAGGCGGAGTGGGGTGATGGGGTTGGCAATGGCGGACGAGATGAAGGCCATGATGAGGGCCCCTTAATGTCTCGCGCGGAGCGCCGCTCTTAAGTCACTGATTGGATCTTCGACGGTCCCGGAGAGCAAAAATCGTCAATGTCGGCCGCGTCGGGATGTCTCGTAGAAGGGTTTTGAAGGCCGCCAAAATTAGGTTAAATCGGCCGATTTCTGTGTAACTAACTCTATTCCCACAGACCCCCCCACACACCACTTAGCTTCGCGGCGTGTGGCTGCTCGGCTTCGCGGCTACACGGCTGCTCGGCTTTGCGGCTACGCTGCTGATCGGCTGCGCTGGCACCTGTTCAGCTGCGGGAAGGGGAGGGGAAAGGGGGTAGAAGTGCTGATGCGGGGCGACGGGCGGCAGCCCGAAGGTGACGCTGCGGGGCGCCGGGCGGCGGCCCGACGAGAAGTTGCGGGGCGACGGGCGGCGGCCCGACGAGAAGCTGCGGAGCGACGGGCGGTGGCCCGACGAGAAGCTGCCGGGCGACGGGCGGCGGCCCGACGAGAAGAAATTGTGCGAAGATGTTCGACGAGAAATAAAGAACACTCAAAATGTTAAAGCGCCAGCGATGCGCTTACCGCAGAGGGTGTAGAGATCGTCGAGAATGAAGGGGGAAAGTGACGCGGGAGAATTTTCGGCCACGAATGTCGCGAATCACCGGCGACGGGATTGAGGACGTCTACGACGGCGTTAGCGGGATGAGCATCCGCCGAAAGAATATGATCACGATTCGCATGTGCGGTTGAAGTGCTCTGATACCATTTCATAACTTAGGCGTAGAACTGATACATTAGTGATGAGTTTGAAGCTCTTTAAGTGCATCCAAGATGGGGAAGGACTGGATGGGGAAGGGAATCGTGGGCAATCCCTAGGGATTGGGGGTGACCAAGGCAATCTCCAATTGGTGGGTTGGAAATTGCTTGGAGATTACATTTGGGTTTGGTTGGGATGTAGGTGTACCCCCAACCAAACACAAAGTGCAAACTACACTACTCTAGGAAATAGAAAATATGAAGTACAAAGTGTGAGATTGAGGGCTAACATTAACAGCCCCCCACAGGCGTAAATTGAACTCAGGGCAGAGAAGGTGGAGCACAGAGCCCCATGGCGCCAAGGAGACGGTGGTGAGGAATTTTCCCAAGGGGCTTGGTGAACAGATCAGCCAGGTTGCAATCAGATGCAACGTACTCCTCATTCAGCTGCTCCCGCTGGACACGGTCACGGATGAAGAAGTGCCGGAGTTCGATGTGCTTGGTGCGAGTGTGGTACACGGGGTCTTGGGAGAGGTGGATGGTACTCTGGTTGTCACACCAGAGGGTAGGGGTGGACTTTGGGTAGCCAAGCTCCTGGAGGAGGAAGGTGAGCCAACGGGCCTCTTGAGCAGCCATGGTGCCAGCGTAGAGCTCTGCCTCACAGGAGGAGAGGGAGACTGCTCACGACCTGGTGGAGCGCCAACTGACAATTCCGCTCCCAAGGGTGAAGCAGTACCCCCGAGAGGAGCGTCGGTCGGTCTGGTCATCAGCCCAAGAGGAGTCAGTGTAACCTTCCAGTCGAGGAGGGGAGAGCTCGCCGAGTGTGAGAACGTGAGACTTGGTGCCTTGAAGATAACGCAGTACCCGCTTCGCTGCCTTCCAGTCACGATCAGTAAAGCGTCCAGGGGCCATGTAGCGAGAGAGGACACTCACAGGATATGCCAAGTCCGGCCGGGTGCACATCATGGCGTACATGAGGGACCCAACGAGCTCCGGGTATGGCTCAGAGCAAGCCTCTGGTGTGGGTACAGCTGGGGCTGTGAGGAGGTATTGCAGCGGCAGCGGGGTGGCAACAGGTGTGCACAGCTCCATCTCAAACCGCTTGAGCACATTGTTGATGTAGAACACCTGGGAGAGTGAAATGGTGCGAGCCTGGTGATCACGTGTAATCTCCATCCCGAGGTAGTGCTTGAGGTCACCGAGGTCTTTCATCAGGAGGGTTTTGCTCAGGGCCGCCTGGACAGAGGTCATCTGGGCCGAGTCCTTGGCAACGACGATGAAGTCATCCACGTAGACAAGGATGTAGAATGGCTCAGAATGACGGCGAATGAAGAGAGTCGGGTCCGCAGATGATGGGTGGAAGTTTAGGGAGAGAAGGACTTCTATAACCTTGTTGTGCCATTCGCGAGGGGCTTGCTTGAGGTCGTAGACGGGGCAATTCAGCTTCCAAACAGTGTTGGGAGGGAACTTTCCTGGAAAGCCTTCGGGACGATCCATGAACACTGTCTCCTTGAGGTGTCCTTGCAGGAAGGCCGATGAGGCGTCCATGGATTTGATCTTAAAGTCCTCTCGCGCAGCTACATCCAAGAGCGTGCGAACGGTGGGTGGTTTGGATGTGGGGGAGAATGTTTTGAAGAAGTGAAAGGTACTATTGCTAAGTAAATCCCTTGGCCACATATTGAGCTTTGAACACAGGGGCCTCGTCCGGAAGCTGCTTCACTCGAAACAGCCACCTGCCCCCAACGATGTTAACCCCCTGGAGGTGGAGTTTCGTCGTCGAAGGAGTGGTTGCTAGTGAAGGCTTCTATCTCAGCTTCCATGGCAACACACCATTCGGGAGCATGGGGACCCCAAAGAGCCTCTTGGACGGTGAGAGGGATAGGGATGGTCGGGTTCTCCGTGAAGTTGAGTGAGGGTGATTCAGTGATGTCGGGGAAGATGTGCGAGAGCTGGGGAATGACTGCGTGAAGATTACACAGCTTCTCATGCCTGTCTTCCAGAAGAGTAGAGGGCACATCCCCCCCGGCAGGAGGAGTCGGAGTGATCGCTGAGCATCGTATAGCCAGTGCCAGTGGAGGAGCAGGGCCATGCGAGCGAGTGCCATGAGCCACCGGAGAAGAGGGTGGAGCAGGCGATGTCGGAGGGGATGGTTTAGGAGACTTGGGTGGGGGAATTGGCCGCCGCTGGTACGTGATCAGTTCGGGCGGCTGTGGGGGATGGGGTCCTGGGTGGAAGGGGGGATTGGGGGGGCGAGGTGGGGCCGGAGGGTTTGACCGCCGATGGTATGTGATTGGTGCCCCGGAGGGGGCGGCGCAATTGGCAGAGTAGGAGGTGAGGGGGATGGAGGAGCAGGTGCCGAAGACATCGGTGAGGTCGGGTCAGAGACCTCAGAGGGGGATGGTGCCATGGCAGGAGAGGTGAGGGGGTCGGTGGAGGCGGGAGTTCAGGAGGAACATCAAAGTCTGCCTACACAAGAGAGGGCGGATCAGAGGGAGGATCCCGTCCCGAGGTGGAGTAGAATGGGCGGATCTCATCAAAGACAACATCGCGGTTCCGGACTAACTGTTGAGTGGAGGGGTTAAGGAAGAGGTAGTCAGGGGAGTCGGCGTTGTGCCCAAGGTAGATGCACATTTGGGTCTTGGGACCGAGTTTGCCACCGTTCTTCCGCCTAGCTTGAGGGTTGAGGAGGACATAGGCGATACACCCCCAATCGCAAAGAGAGCGTGCAGTGGGTGTTTTCCCGAGCCAAAGAGTGGTTGGAGTGGTGTTGGGAAGATGCAGGTGGGGGTAAAGGTTGTAGAGCTAGGTTGGCATAAACGCGTTTGGCGTATATACGCGTTCCGTATATACGCTAGCGTGTGAACGCTGAACGCTAGAGTGGTCAGATCCAGGATACGCATTTCTGGGCAGGGAAAAAAGTTTCCCGGGCAGGGTAAAAAACCCCTCCCGGGATTTGGTCTAGTGGGGTTTCATGCGGGATGTGTTTCTGTTTGTTTTTTTTCCCCATACTAAAATTAGCCATGCCATACAAATCCAGTTACGAGTCATACTACTCTCTCCCTACTATACCCACCCTCCTCCCCCCCCCACTTCGTTACCCTCTACTCATACTCGTCCTCCAAGATAGCGTCCTCATCCTCACCCTCCTCCTCCTCCTCCTCCTG